TGTGTCTTCCTCTCTCTCTGCCCCTCCCCTGCTCATGCTCTGTCTCTCTCTGTCTCAAAATAAATTTAAAAAAATATATATTTTCATCCTTGGACACCTGATATTGTCAGAAAGTTCTTATTCGAAGCAGAATCTGTCTCCCCTTAACTGTTACCGCCAGGAGTACCTAGTTCCGCCCGCTGAAGCAGAGGATTCACCTCTAAATCTGAGGGCACGGGACCTCCTGCCGTCTCGCACACAAAATCCTACTGCTGAGCCCTTCCCACTAGCCCAGTGCCCTTGGAGGGGACAGCAGCTTCCTGAACACGCGCAATAAAATCTGAAGTGGCCTGAAGTGATCATCTGAGCAACAGAGGACTTGTGGATCCATTTGGCTCAAGCTCCGTCTCAGCTCTCAGCTCTGGAAATGAAGCGTTACAAATACTCCTCCGACAGAAAACAGAAAGTGAGCAGGAGGCCGACCACAGGTACAGCCCGGGAGAAAAAGCGTGTACCAGCGCACTGGAAAAAACAAACGGAGGCCAGACAAGGTCCCAAAATGTGGCTTCCATCAAGTCACTACTGCTTAGCAAAACTAAAGCGTGAGGAGGAAGCACTCCTATCTCACCCAGCTTTACTCACCCAGGAGAGAGTGCCAGGCGCCAAGCAAGGGCTGGACAAACACGCCCCTCAGCTGGGAACCCAGGCTTACTCACCACGGGGTCCTCCTCCCCGGCAGCTGATGTCCTGCAAGATCCCGGCGGATGCCAGAAACCACAGAGGGCGTGGAACCCTGTACATCGGGTCTTTTCCTACGCTTACACACCTACCACAAAGTTGAGCATACGCTGCGCACAGTACGAGATCACCAAGAACTAATAACCGAGTAGACACCCGTGACGACATTCTACAGAAGCCGTGTGCATGGGGTCGCCCTCTCTCTTACTGTGCTGCACCTGCCCTTCTGGTGACGACAGATGATACAGTCCCCGCATGACCAGATGAAGGGAGGTGAGTGACCTTAGGCCTGTGAGGCATTGGGACACAGCGTGGGGCCACCGTGACCTCCTGAGGACAGGCCGCAAAGAGGATCACGTGCTTCGGCCCGCGGGGCCCCAACAGATGGAAATGGAAAGTGCGGAGAAGGGTGGACCACTGCACTCGTCCTGAGCCAATTACTTCCAGAAAGGTTTGTCAGCGGGCCTACCCCCACCTCCTCTTGAGGTTTCCACACTGACAGCATCCTCTCCGGGAACCCTGCACTTCCAGCGCCTGTTACCTGCCGCCGGAAGCAGAGTCCCCACCGTCGCAGGACACAGGGTCCTGAGGAGCCAAGGCAGAGATGACCTCTCTGCTGTTGAACTTTGCAACCCAGCCCCTAGCACGGCGACAGGCAGTGCTTTAAAACGTTTTAAATAAACTAACCCATGTGTAGGCCTTTATATTTATCAAGGTGGAACAATACAACGAACGCACCATCTGGTCAAACGTAGGTTCAAATCTCAACTGTGCTGACTAGGCGGGGAAACCTTCCAAATCCCTTCACCTCTCTGAGCTGCATTTCCCCGCCTGCAAAAATCCCCACTGATCTTCCACGTTTTCTTAGGAATAAAATTCCTAACGGTAACACAGAAAACAAGGTAATTTCAGGCGATGAGAGGTATCATTAACAGAGTGACAGAGCAACAGTCCTCAAACATTCTGATCTGGGGATCTTTTCACGTTCTTAAGTATTACTGAGGACTCCGAAGACCTTAAGTTTATATAGATTACATCATTATTCGCCCTACTCAAACCGAGCACTGTTTAAAATAGCTCTTCAATTAAAAGCAAACATCTAGCGTATGTTAATGCAAATACATATTTTTATGAAAAGTATATTCTCAAAAAAAAAACAGTGAAGAGTTTTCACTTTTAGAAATCTTTTTAATGTCTGACAAAACAAGCAGATCCTCCTATCTGCTTATGCATTCTCTCTGTTGCAATCAATATGTTGCGTTTCATTTTCCTGCAAATCATTTTACTTTGATAGATTGAGTTTGCCGTTTTGAGTGAAATACACCAGTCTTGATTCATGCAAAGGCGTCAGCAATTTTACTCCTAATCGTTTTTGTACCACTAGGGCAAAGGTTAACCGAGTGGAGAAACCAAATAGTACCGCTATGAAAAGATTTACCTTGCAGACCCCTGAAAGCGCCTCCGGGAACTCCAGGGGTCCACGAACCACACTTTGAGAACCACTGTGGTAGAAAAAGACTGGTGTAAAGTGAAGTTATTTGCAGGCAGGTTTGAGGAAGGCCTTTTTTAGGAAGCTGACGCCCTGAGACCTAAGGGAGGAGTCAGAGGAGGCGGATTCTCAGAATATCTGCGAGGAACACGAAGAATTGAAGGCTACAGCAAGGAAAAGAGGGAGATGAGCCCTAGACAAAGGCCAGATCAATTAGGATCCTGCACGAATGTCGATCTGACTTTAAGAGAAATCCTTTGAGGAGTTTTAATCGGGGTGTGGCCCTATGATATCCGTTTAAAGAGCCCCTCCACGGACAGGTGATGGACCTAGGCTGGGGCCAGACTACCTGGGACTCAAGTCCACCTGGAGACAAGGGGGCTGGGGAGCCAAGGACACTGGCGATAGAAGAGGTGGGGCTCACTGCAAACACATTTTTGAGGAAGAAGCCACAAGACTTCATTATGAACCGTCTTCAGGAATAAGAGGAGGAGTATTATTCTTAAGTTCGGGGCTTGAAAACCCAAGTGAACGGTGATGCCATTCGGGAAGATGGGGAAGATTGGGGGGATTAGGTTCCCAGCCCTCCGTCAAGGCAGATTTTACATTCTCCATCCTAAGCCTTCGTTAGAGCACCTGAGAGGCACTGCACCTTCTGTTATTTTTGGCAGAGGGCACATTAACAAAAGTACAAACAGTAGACGAAATGAGGCCAAAGCCAAGGCAGTGAGGTCTTTCAGAACTCCTTCCAGAAGCCAAGAGCCACTAATCGAGATTCTGAGCAGTTACTGCCCAAATACAAATCTGCAAACCTGCACGGTTCCCCCGCCAGCGTCCCACTAAGCTCCCTAAGCGCTGTGCGAGGCGTGCGGGTTCGTGCTCAAATTCATACGCGCTCCTGTCCTAACGTCTCCTTCATTTGCCCGTCTGTTAACTTGATCAGTTATGAGACCAGTAAGACCGTCTGGTCGGTACGTCCCGTCAGTAAGTTTACACCGCTGGCTGGTCTCGACCTCTCTCCCTAAACGCGATGAAGGGCTCAGTTAAACACTATCGATCTGCAGTTTCCAGAATTGACCTTGCTCCGTTCTGAAAACCAGTGCCCGTGCGCGCCGCCTGGCACCAGCCCTTGAGTGAGTCCCAGTTTACTCCTCCTCCGGGGAAGGGTAAGCCTGGGCCACCCGGCTCGGGGACCAGCCAGCGACAGGTACGAGCCCCGGGAGCGCGTTCCAAGTCCGCACGGCCGGATCCAGCGCCCACGCAGCCCCCTCTACGACCGCCCCGGCTCTGGTCCCCACCCCACCCCCGGCTCCCCCAGTCCCCCGGGCCCCGCTGGTGCCCTCCCGGTCCCCCGGCCTCCAGGCCCCGGGGCCGGTCTACCCGGCCGTCCCCCAGGTCCGACCCTCC